TTAATATAAGATCCTATTAGAAACATATAAATAACAAAAGTACATTGCTATTTCTGCAGAGTCACTAAAGCAATAAAAAAACATTGCTAGCATTATCATTAAAATATGTAACCTTTAGCATAGATTATATTTAAGATGTTTATTAATAATATATAAGAAAAAAGGTACTTTAGTCTCCTATCATTTGTCATATATTCCAGAAGGCATTAACAGCACCCGAGAATTAGCACCTAGACGATATCTTTTGATGAGAGCTTTAGATACTATTAATACAACACCTGCACAGCAAAATCAGCATCTGCAAACAGTGAAACTTTTATCTTTTTGCCACACCAACAACATTAATTACTATGCCTTGGCTTGAATCACTTTATGAGTATGACTGAGAGAATTAGCAAATATGCTTTTTTGAGCAAATAAAAAAAAGCATGGATCATGATCGATCATCATATCAGCACCAACTGAAGGAGACAAAGATTCAATTCAGCCATTCTACAGTGACATAAAACAGAACCAATTGCAAATCTGTCACAGGCCTCATGAACTCTATTTTTAGTTCTTTAAAAAGGAAAAAAGAATGACAAGTCCCAGAAATAAGATGTTAGACCCATAACCTTTGAGTAAGACCATTGTAGTCTTACATGAGACGCCTTTTAGCTATATTTACAAAATATATATATGAAAATAAACCAAATCCAAGTCAAAATCACATATTGAATTAACAACGAACACAAGGGAAACTTCTATTTTCAAAAAGAACAACTTCTTACCCTAGTCGTACCAAAACATTTGGTGAAATGAGTTGGGCACCACTGATAATGGTTCTACTTCATTGTTATTACCTTTGACGAGAAAGGAATAAACTAATTTTCTACTTGTTGTGATATGCTGTTTTTGTATTGCTTCTAGTACCCTCTGCTATTGTTGTTGCAATTTTTGTAGTACATTCATGTGCATCTGATTGATTTTGAATACGTTTAGAGAACTACTCCCCCTACAAAACAAGCTGAACAACAGAGATGTAACTATTAACAATTATTGTCTCAAGACCTTAGGTAAAAGTTCACACACACACACACACACACACACACACACTCTCTCTCTCTCTCTCTCTCTCACACACACACACACACACAATTACGGGTTGATAAACCTCCAAACAGAGTAAGCAAAGGAATCTCAAAGAGAAAACTTTAACAATTCCATGGAGATAAACCTGTGAAAACTCATGTTGACTTCTGTGGTCCTCATGCTCACCTCTTGTTCTCTCTTGTGCATTTTTACAAACACTTTATGTGCACTTTCCTTGGGCATGTCAAGGACTTATACAACCCAATTTTCAGCTTCATTCCCATCAAATCCTTCCTTAGCAACCTCTGTAATTCAATCCAAACACCCCGTTTTGAAGAAAGAAAAAAAACTAAATTGATACAAAAAGCACAGCGAATGGTAAAGGAAGAATACATAACCCATTTGAGGAGAGAAAGCTTGAACAGCCACATGGAGTGTTGAAACCGTATGGTAATTCCTTTTATTTTACAAGTTTGTGTTGAATGCTTATAAGCCCTCTTCATTGCTTCATAGACATCATCATCATCTTGTTTCTCCCCCTCCTGCATATCAGTAGTAGTCTATAACGAAGTTTGACTCTGAGTTTTAGTTGATTTTAGCCTAATTCAATTCCTCTAATTATCAACTGGTAGTTTGTGTATGATCGTTTTTTCTTCGTTGAAAAACTAAAATTTTTGTTTCTGCTTGCCTATGGTTAGGTTGATCTGCAAGCACATGACTCACGGACATTCAATGTCCCAAGAAGTGGAATTCAAGTTTATTATTAACAGTAGTTTATGTATCATATAGTCTCAGAGGCTGATTATTGCTTTATGAGAAACTATTCTTAATTTTAGGGATAATATACTAGATTAATCATTTATCTGTACCTTGAAGCTTAAGTTCTTATGTTTGAATTTCCATTCCCTCTTTGTATATTTCCTTTCTTCTTTTGGTTTGCCTACTAACAGACACATCATGAAGAGTTTCTTCATTCAATTTAAATAAGTTGTCTTTGATTTGGTAGAGCCTGTTTTTCTTCATGATGTGTTTGTGGGAGTTTCAAGGAACATGATAGTTGGTTGTAAATGTCTTACTCTGTTGTTTGAAAAGTAAGTTACTAACTTATGCTTTCTCCATGGGACCACAAATAAGATCTTCATTACTAATTCGTGTTGCTATTTTGTTTGAACAACAGTAATTTTATAAAAAAAGAATCTAGCTAGGTGCTATCAAAAAAACAATACAAAAGAAAGCATTAAGGCTCCATAGGTTCCTAAGCCACGAAAACTAGTCCCTCCAAGCCTTAAAATGTCTTTGGAAAAATCAATTATGCGAGAACAACATAATGGAATCAACAATCATATCCTTACTAAACTTCTTATCTTTAAAAACCAAAGCATTGCAATAGGACCATAACATCCAAACGGCTGTCATGCATACCGTATAAAAAATGGGAATCACAACATAATGGAATCAACTTTTACCGTTAAAATTAGTGAGATTTTTCCAACTATAATGCCTTAATAAGAAAAAAATGGAAGTGCAATTTTGTAATAGGAAAAAATGAAAGAATGATGCTATAAATACAATACACAAATAGATGAAAGTACATTGCTATTTCTTGTATTTTACCCTTTTATTAGCAATAGTACATTCGGTGAATCATTTCATTTATAAAATGTTTATTTAATTAACAAAATGAATGATTGCAATTATTGTCCTGTTCTTTCTATCATTTTGCATGAGACTATCAATCATATGACCAAAATACCCTCTAATACTTTTGTTTTTGTGATGAAGAATGGTTGCCAAAATGGGATGCTTTTCAATTTAAGCATCCAAAAAATCGAATTTTTGCAATTTTTATAAAAGAGAGAGACTACAAGGCATTAGTCAATGTCGACAAGTCATGACCTCAAATGACCAAAATACCATCCAATACTGACTAAATGTTTATCTTTTCTAGATCTTCCAGATGATAAACAGATTTTGAGTAATCATCTTGGTGCGATTCCAATAACTGCAGCTCAGGTACAGTAAATGTAAAGAAAAAAAATATAAACAGGGGCAAATTTGTAAAAAGTTTAGGACTTAATGTGAAAAGTCTCATTTTTATGACTTTCTGTGTAAAGTAAAAAAAAAAAAAAAAAGAAAAAAGAAACACGAATAAATTACACGAATGGTCCCTATGGTTTGGGGTAATTTGCACGTTTGGTCCCTAACTTATTTTTTTAACTCGGAAGGTCTCTACTGTTTGTTTTTGTTGCGTGCTTGGCCAATGTCTTACCTAAAAAGACTATTGTGCCGTTGATTTTTTAAATTATTTAAATAAGGTAGGGTAGGTAAGGTAAGGTAAAGTGAGGTGGAGGTGGGGTTGGGGGTGTGTTTATTTAAATAAATTAAAAAAATCAAAGGTAAAATAGTCTTTTTAGGTAAGACATGGACCAAACGCGCAACAAAAACAAACACTAGGGACCTTCCGAGTTAAAAAATAAGTTAGGGACCAAACGTGTAAATTACCCCAAACCATAGGGACCATTCATGTAATTTACTCAAGAAACACTGATATATAGCTTACCCAATTAAAACTGCCTCTATTAAGTCATTAAGCCGAAAAGAAAGAAATAACATCCAAGTGGCCCCTTACATGCTTCATAGTTTCACATATTAATATGGAAAAATAGTTTTCAATGTATTAGTATTACACACATTAATAAGCCCATTTAAATCGACTTAATCTTCATACAATGCACTGCTTATGGTTTGCATACCCTAAATCTTGTTTACTTTATATTTGAAGTTGTGAAAGGGGAATGTAAAGAAAAGCACTTGTATTTTCATTCTATATATTTTAGCCACTTAACTATTTTTGGCCATTTAAAAAACGATTTTTCTATGTTTCATGGTTTTGGAAAAAAAAGGAAAATACATAATAGCTCAAATTACTTTCACCGATTTGTGAATTTACCCACTGAATTATTAT